ACCAAGGACCATCAAGAGCTTGTTCCCGAGAAGATTGAACAGAAGTCCTCCAAAGTAACCGAACACGGTAAATGCACCGTAAAGTGCGGCATTCATTGCCGCGGAGACAGCAGGATCACTACCACCGGCATTCCCAAGTCCCTGCATGGCGTTGAACATACCCGGGCAACAAAAGCATACCAAACCAGCAATGATGTTTTGATTGAAACCTGTCAAGAATACTCTAGGAAGAGGAAAATCTAATTTTCTTGCGAATGAAGCCGAGACATTAATGTCATCAGCGGCCGCATAATATTCATCAGTTCCATCTATGGCGTACGTAGACGTGTTTCTCTTTTCGTCAGCCATGCCGGTATATGTAACAACACCGACCTCGAGATAAATTTACGTGCTGATTCTGCACTGATCGAATATTTATTTCATTTTTTTATACATTTCCTCAATATTTGCTGGCCGCCCCAGGGCCCAGGCCCCCCACTCCCCCAGAAATTATTTATTGTCGACATCGGTGAACAAAGGAGTCGAGGACATCTGACAATTCGCACGAAGTCGTAACAGTGTAACACGCAAGAGCCAAGACGCAAGTCCCAAGCTCCCAAGCTCCAACCACCTTTTTCTTCTTCTTTTTATCTCTAAATACGGGAAACCTAAAACGTTGTGTTCACTCAGAAAATACAGTTTTGTGAAAATTGTCAACAATAGTCAATATTAGACCAACGTAGGAAGAATATACTCGCATATCGATATCATTACACAGAATTACACTTGGTACTATGTCCAGGGGCAGATGCAGGGTTTATAGTTGCCAAAAAAAAACAAAGAGGATGGTGTGACCTTGCACAATAGTAAACCTGAATGGATGGGAGTCCTGGAAAATCGTCTTCTGTTCGATCTCAGGGCTGACGTTATCTGCAACCGTCACTTCCGCGAGACAGATATTAAATTGTATAAAAATTATGATCCGCCTCGATACCACGTCAGACGAGGGAGTCTACCATCGCAAAATCTGGGTGCTATACTTATCTTAGACCTTCTCGGGTAGGAAGATTTCGGAATTTACGAGGCCCTCGTGCTCGTGGTCGAGGCCGAGACATAGGAACTCAGACCTCTATCACATGTAAAGATCTTGATCTACAAATAATATTAGCGCCAGATTTAAGTGCTATGCATGCTACCAGCACTACTGTGACTAGTAGTACTACTTTGTCGACTGACAATGTGCAATCTGTGCTGAATCTATCGGCTGAATCTGCTGTAGCTGATGTGGTGAACACGTCGGCTACATCTGTTTTACATGCTGTGGTGAGCACGCCAGCTATAAGTGTTGCACCTGTTGTTGCAAACACGTCGGCTCCATCTACTACACCTGCTCGGTCGAAGCCGTCTACTATCAACAGCACACGACCGGCTGTGGAATCAGTCGGATTTTGCGTACGCAACAGGCACCATTGAATAACTCGCCATACTCACTCTGTATCATTATTTATTTACACTAAAATACGTCTCGCAAGTCACAAGTCAGTGTATGTTTAGTTTAGCTATGTTATTTATTGCCACATTTATAACAGCTGAACAGTAGTCAATAACTATACAGCCATCCTTTTCTTCAATAAAAATTCACGCAGACTATCGAATGTCGATGGCTAGCAATATGTTTGTAGCTGGGTTGATATCTTTCTGTTGCCAGTTAGTTGCCAGTTTTTTGCTGGTTTATTGCTAGTTTGATGCCAGTTAGTAGTTAGTTGCTAGCTTGTTGCTAGTTTGTTGCCAGTTTGTTGACAGCTTGTTGTCAGTTAGTTGCTAGCTTGTTGCTAGTTTGTTGCCGGTTTATTGCTGGTTTGTTGCTAGTTTGTTGCCTAGGTGTTGCCAGTTTGCTGCTCACTTGTAACCAATTCGCTGCTTGTTTGTTGCTCAGTTGCTGGCGGTTCATAGGCAGTATACGTCCATATTAAAGAGATTGCCTGACATCGCGCAGGGTGCTGGCGATCGTTTCGAAGGGAGAGACTCTTACTCCGTTCAATACCACTATGTCCACTGGTGTTGTTCCTGAAACAACACTATACGTATGTAAAGCTTGCTTATTTGGTTCACTAGATACCATCTATGTAATCACTATTTGGAAACGAAAGTGTTTTTAAAAAAATTGTTGAAGTCAATAAAATAAAGTTCGTGTATTGAACCATATTTTAGCGGTAATTTTCAAATATAATTATGTTAAGATATATATGTTTGTTCACGAAAAGCACGTCCAGGCGAATGACGTTGTTCATAGGTGGACATAACTCAACGACCAAATATAGCAAGATTTATTTATAGATTTTCATATGTAGGCCATAAATATATCCTTTTTCTTTAAAAATTAAATTTAAAAAACAGAAGATAAAAATCGGTTATCATTTTACGACCAACAGCTCTGCGTATGCGTTCGAGGAAACTTACGACACGTTCACCCGGCTGGTTGTATTTTTGAGACGTCGTTGTAAATACGTCATAAATACTGTTTTGGCGCAGGTAATCTAATTAGCTATTTATGGTGAGTTAGGCTAAGGGTAAAAGGTATTTACTTAACATATAAACATCCCAGTTATAATAGACTCATTTATAATATCTTTATTTTATTTTATGTATTATAAAGTGCTACCACCATTGGCCCTGACCTCTTCCAGCAATTACAGAAGCGCCACGACTCCCATGGTATATGGACCTCCACGAACACCTTGGATAATTTCTCCAGCATGTAGAGCAACCCCCGTAACCACACCCGTCTCTGACATATCAACATATGTTTCCCATACCCCGGCTAATCACGCTATTGAAGAACTATTTCCAAGTTTCGGTCCAAACCAAGTCATCGTGCATGTTGGTTCCGCCTATAATACTTCCGACCCAGGTCAACCAGCACACACCGAATTCATCCGTGGTATGGTGCGGCATTAGTTCACCATTATCCTCGCTTCTCAACCGAATTATGACATATAACCTGGTCCTACTTGATATTTTTTACTCTGCACTAACCCATTCCACGGTACTACACGGTGCAGACTCGATCAGCACCACAGAGGTCGGTACACTACTTAGTAGGTCAGCAAGCAAATACGTGACACAGTCAATGGTGTAAGTTTTTTGTTAGCACCGGCCTGAATTGACCCAGCGCATATCCTCCATCGTCGACTCACTTGACGCAAGCTTCAGACAAAAATTTATTGACCACTTCTTTTCATCAACCTTTCCCAAACATCTACAACGGTTATGAGAGCCATACCATATGTACATACATTGTAGCCTATCTCTTCTAAAATAAGTAATATTATCCCTATTGACTAGTTCCGCCTACGTGTAACCGCCCAACGCAATACTCAAATGTACACATAGCATACCAACAACGGTCTCCGCGGTGTCATTCCTGTGTACCGGGTACCAATGACACAGGCGCACCCTCACTGGCTACTTCAAGAACTTATTCAACTCTACAAACCTGTACGTGGTTGCACCGGATAGCGAACCCTTGCCATATGTATCTTTCGCCATACGACCTGACAATGTAATGAAGGCTATACAACGCTATCCCAATAAAAGGCCTGGCCTTGACGGGATCCACATTCTCTATTAAAGGCCGCAGTGAAGCGTACCACCGAACGCAGGACACTTTGATTATGCTCCTTACATAGCCGAAGCATGCACTGAGCTACTGGAGAAAGATACCTTCCCTGCAGCCCTGAACTTCAAATTTCCTGACAGCGCACCCAAAAAAAAAAGGCTGATGCAGATATCACCTCCCCCGCTGACTTCTGCCCTATCACGCTAACGCAAATACTCAGACACAACTTTGAGAAACGTTTCCTCAAGCTGACTACGAGCCACCCCGGCTCTGCTACCCATGCTACCCAGGCTGACTTCAAATCATAATACTCCTGCCATAACCCAAGCACTCGCCGCCATAGAATCTGAGACACAGCCGGAAGAGAAGTGGTGTGGAACGATGTCTGACTGGACATTGCCACGGCATACGACAAGGTTGCTCTCCCAAGCCTGTGTGGGTACTCCTGCGCTACGCTATACCCGAAAACTGGATCAACTGCCATCGCGCGCTATTTTAGTGGGTCCATACTCGAGTGACATACCGCTGTGGCACGCTCCCGCTTCTATTTCATTACCTATTGGTGTATTAGCCTGGCCTCCACAATAGACTCTATGTTATAAACGTACTCTTAAGCAGTACGTATACTATAAACGTACTCTAAATAGTACGAGAAACGTAAGTTTCTTAAATGGTTTTTTTAACGGTTTTATTAATTAATACCTTTTCAATTTTACATATCAGATATTTGGACAAGGCTATTAAAAGGCCCCAGTAATATACCAAATATAAGATTTGGACTAGTTCTATTAATAGAACTATATTTACTTTACAAATATATTTATATCTGAATACTTCGGTAGCGAGATGGCTCAACCGAACATATGTTTCTAAGGACTATTAGCGTCGCTTAATTTATCCTCCGTTCAGCCAACCAGATGTGCCAGTCTGATGAAGGCTAAGTCGGTAATTATTGATAAGTGGCAAGTTATTGGTTAATGTAATAACTATGGACATCAAGAGTATTTTTTTTTCTTATTTTTTCCTAAGCACAGACATTCCTTGAGAGAAAAAAACTGAAGTCGTAAATTACGATTATGACAAAGAAAGACAATACACCTGTAAAGAAACGCAAGGCCGAACGTAAGAAAATGGAGAGAGAAGCCACTAGCACTGCCACAGAAGCAACCGCCGCTGCTGCCGATGCGTTTAACCGCAACGTAGCCGAGGCACTTATCTCCAACAATAATAGTTAGAACAATGCCTCGGATAGGGATGTAGTCACTCCGATTAAGGAGACTACGCCTATAGATAGAATACGAGGGCCAACTATTGCCTCAACTTCGAAGCTTGCATTTACGAAGCCAAGAAGTGAGACAAGGGACACGTCTCAAGACGATCCAACCAATTCTTCTGACGAAACCAAAAAGAAAATTCCCCAAATATAGGGGACGAAGACGAATCTCAGAAGGTACCTATACCGGAACCAGAAGAGGAGGCAAGCTCAAGTGGCAAACCCGAATCTACGTCCGAAAACACTGATCTTAAGAATCAGTTAGCCACCCTTTTGAAAGGCATGACTGTTGAACATGTAGATCTAATGTATAGATCAGGAAAGCATACACAGCACTTGCGCGAGCATGTTTCTCCGGTCATTTCTGAAGCCCTACAGAAGTGGACAGAACGTCGACAAGCAATTACGCCCAAAAAGCGTAAAGGCCTGAGGCGAACATGCCGCATTAGTCAGGCGAGTCCTTCAGAGACTCAACGAACAAAACTTCAAGAT